AGTAGAGTAAAATGTCTTCGTAGTTTTCCACAGATTTAATTAAGTTTCTGATTATTACGTACTGTGGATCTGATTTCGTAAATACACTGCGTGCCAAATTATTATCGAGATAACATTTTTTTTCTAATATTTCAAAAACCGTCCAATCAATTCACGCAAAACTTTCACACAATGTTGGGAACACTGACATCGCAATTTTCGTACTGATTTCCGCAATGTAAACCAACTGGCGCCATATTTGTTATCCACTTTTCTAATAATTTGGCACGCGCAAATCACCATGCTGATAACAAATATGGTGCCAGTTTGTTTACATTGCGCAGATCAGGACAAAAATTTCAGTGATTGCGCATGTCAGTGTTGCCAACATTGTGTGAAAATTTTGTGTGAATTGATTTGACGGTTTTTGAAATATTAGAAAAAAAGTTATCTTGATAATAATTTGGCACGCAGTATATATTAGAGTATGCAGCTTATATTTTATATCATAAAGAAAGTAAAAATCATGGTACATATATATATATATATATATATATATATATATATATATATATATATATATATGGATCCTATTATTCAAGGAATTTCATAGCAAGTTAATGTCTCATTAAGTCTTGTTAGCGAAATGATTTCGCCATTAATCGCATTAACATTGCTAATTAATTCTTTTGTATAAATTGTTTCTTTATTATTATATATATATATATATATATATATATATATATATATATATATATATATATATATATATATATATATATATACCGTGTTTTCTTTCACTTCGTATTGCTTTCAATATTTAGTTAGAAAAATATTTTATCACACAAAATATCTCCTCAGATATTTCATCCATCCATCTAAATCTAATCTCTTTTAACTGAAAAAAATATTTGTTTCTCAAGCAAATAATCAGTTCTTTTCTTTTTTTCCCTTGATTCTAATCAAAAGCGATATGTGCTTAAAATATCTCCAAAAGGATAACACTTCAGAAAAAAGAACGGAAAGATGCGACAAGTTGTAACTTATCCATCAGATCTTACCATCACGTGACACATAAACATTATGTGGGCGAGATGTCGTAAACAATATGGAGTCAACAGAAAGTAGAATAATTTTATTTAGATCTTGGTGTCTTCTTCATTTTAAAAATACTTTTACCAATTTTGACACGTTCATTATTTCTTATATATGAACGTCTTGGACGTGGGGTTAATTCATATATAGGAAATTGCAGATATAATCATATTTTGAAGGTGGTATCGTCCACCAGTTGAACATCTTATGGTTTCTTCGTGTTATAATAAAAAAGGAACTAGATGTATTTTTAATTACTCGTTGTTATAAATCCGGAATCTTCATGAGAAACAATAATGAGTTTTTTTCGCCAAGTTTCCGACATTTATACGTTTTTATTTAATCAAAAATAGTTAACATGAAAATGTCTGTATTTAACAATTCTTTGTCCGGGGGTGGGCGGGGGGCCATTAAATGACCACGTTTCGCAGTTTGCTAACTTCCGGTGCAGATGTAAATTCTTTTATAAGCTGAGTGCAGGCAGACAAGTTAACTTGAATGTTTTCAGGTTTTAATTTTAAAAACCTGAAATAAAAACATCAACTTTGGAAGCAAAGTAAACATATAAATGTCACTGACATGTTGCAAGCCTAAATCTCTGCGTGATTTCTCTGAAATTGGGAATGAAAACATCAATAAAAATACAAAAAATTGCTTTAGTCTCGAATAAAAATAAATCTCTGTCATTCAACAGCGATAGATTCCGTTTTATATTGCATATTTGGTAGTATATGTGCAATGGTAGAGAACATTTACTGTCAATTCGTCATCATTAAAAAGAAACAAATTTGGATGTATTCTATTTTTTCTTTTTTTTTTTTGTAATTTGAAGAAAACGAGTGGTACCTATATATGATATTTATGTGTACATATAACTGTGCAAATGTCTCGTAAAAAACTCATTTTGTTTGCGTTTGCGTTTACTTGATTCCATAAGTTTGTGATTCGGTCTTTTGGGGTAGGTGCATTTTTTTACATATTAACATCTGTTGGGTTACTTAATTTTTCTTTAATTCACCCCAAGCAGGGAGATAATGCCACTAAGACGCAAGGAGCTATTGGAAGTGAAAGACAGGGAAAAGATTTTAAAAGGAACCGGAAACCCATACCTAAACAGGAAACATGGGATAAACCTCTACTCCTGTTCAAAAGACCCGGAGAGTGTGTGAACTTGACGATAGGAGAACTTACCTACTCTTATTTAATATACTATTTATTTATTTGCTTTTTTGCAAATAAATAAATGGTAAATAAAATTACAGATTTTATGCGGGGACGTTAGAAGTATAGAGTTGAAATAAACTTTACAGAGAATCGGGAACCCAGTCATAAATAAGGGATAATCTACTCCTGTTAAAAAGACGACGAGGAGTTTGAACCAGGCGATCGTAAACTGTTTTTGTATTATACTTGAGACGAGAGGTAAATATTTGTCGGATTATAATTGAGTTTTATAATAGCCGGATTTATACTTGAAGCTATATTTAAAATAAACCAGAACATATATTTATATCAGCAGGTAGAAACAATTTGGCTTAACGTTTGTTCCTTGGTAAGAAGTGGCAGCGGTAATGCTTGAATATGTAGGTAAATACTGGTCAGGTTTATGCTTGAACACCTAGGTAAACATTGGTTGGTTTTAATGGGCTCAGTTCAATAAGGTCAAATTGGAGGCCGATGTGAAAAACGACCTTCAGTCTGTTGTTAACTGGGGTAAAGAATGACTTGTCAATTGTAATGCCCCCAAAACTAAATTGCTTACCATTAATTAACTGTGAGACCTCTTTCTGTCTTCTATCAGCGTAGCTGATGCTAACCTCCATGAAAATGACCCATTGCGCCTTCTGCCTGCTGCCGTAAAGTGGAAAGACTATATTGAATCCATTACTAGGTCGGCTGCTAAGAAAGTTAGTTCATTTGACGTGCTAGACAATTTATCTCTCCTGAATCAAATTTGCATATCTATAAGTATATTATTCGTCCTTGCTTAGAATATTGCTGCCACATATGGATCATATCCAAAGAAGAATCAGAAAGATTACTGATCCAGACATGGCGTCTAGGCTTCATTCACTTTCTCACCGCCGTAATGAAGTTTCCCTGTGCCTTTTTATATAAATACTTTCATGGTAACTTCTTCGGTTGAGCTCTTCGCTATAGTTCCTAGAATCTAATCGCAGCACTAGACTGCTCGACAGGGTCTCTTCAATTTTACAGTCGAGTTAGCTAGATGTAACCGTAAGTTCTATGCTAACAGTTTCTTCTCTCACCTGTGGGACTCTTTTTCCGGCTCTATGTTTTCGAGTAATCTTTAAAAATTTTAATTCAATGCCAATCGCTATCTGCTGTCGTTATGATTAATCTTTCTTTGTTCCCACTCCTTAATAATTTTTCTGTTTTCTAATTCATCCAGACCCAGTAAATGTACGAGTCTGCAGTCAACTAATTAGAAATTGGCGCCTTCTACAGGCGGCCTTAACAGATTGCGTATTGTTAACTCCGCCAAGAGTATAATTGTGTGAATGAGAATTTTGATGTTTATCATCATGATAAAAACCAATTCTAATGCTTCTGCATCCAGACTCTGGAGTTTCGTAGACGGACCTTCCAGAAATCGATTCGTTCACTCGTCAACATATAGCGATTTTCCAAACGTAACTTAGATGTGGCACAAAGCTGAAATTATTGGTCACTTACTCATAATTGTTCTAGCGAGACAAGCTTGCTAAACATTACAGTCATTACACCACCCTGAGGTGCCCCACTCGTCAACATATATAAAGAAATCTTCAAAACAAATCCAACCTTCAGACTCATAACCACAAATAAAAGTGGGTACCCTATACATTCGGACTTGTGCCACATCTAAGTTATTCTTAAAGAAGTAAGAGGGTAAAAATGAAAAGTTTTGAAATCGGTATATTTTTTCCATTTTATTAAAGAAGACTTTAAGCAGACGCGTTATTACATCCTCTTTCTTTCTTTTTTTCTTTCTTTTTTCTTTCTTTTTTCTTTCTTTTTTTCTTACTTTTTTCTTTCTTTTTTCTTTCTTTTTTCTTTCTTTTTTTCTTTCCTTTTTCTTTCTTTTTTCTTTCTTTTTTTTTCTTTTTCTTATTGGAAGTAAACAGCATCTCTAACTAAATGTCTTTTCCGTCTTTGGTTGCGATCAAAACGGAATCGATTATTATTAATGAGGTAATGGCAGTGCTTAACGGTCGTGATAACTAACTAAGGGATTAACTAAGAACGTAGAAAGAAGCAGTATTCTAATATGATGGTTTAACATTTTTTGGATAAACCTCGTTTGTAAGAAAGTGATTCTATCTGGTTGGAATATGTGCCAAAATCCGCTTGTCTGTGTAAGTTAATATGTGTGCATTGTGTTTTATGGAAACATTTTCTGGACAAACCTCGTTTATAAATGATTGTACCTTAGCTATATCCTAGTTTAATGTAAGGAACATGTTTAAAAGTCCGCTTCACTATGTACACTGATATCTTTGAATTATATTTTATTGAAATACTTTATGGACAAACGGAGTTTATAAGTGATTGAACGTGGTTAAATCCCATTTCGATGTAAGGAATACGTGTCAATATCCACTTATCTCTGTAGGTTAATATCTATGCATTGTATCGTGGAAAACCTTTCTGGTTTATAAGAGATTGTACCTCGATATATCCCAGTTTAATGCAAGGAATATGTATCAATGTCCAGTTTTCTATAGAGGTTAACATCTTTGCAGTGTGTTTTATTGAAACGCTTTCTGGCCAAACATAGTTTATAAATGATTGTACCTCGATATATCCCAGTTTAATGTAAGGAATATGTATCAATGTCCAGTTGTCTATAGAGGTTAACATCTTTGTAGTCTGTTTCTGGACAAATGTCGTTTATAAGTGATTGTACCTGGTAAAATCCCAGTTTAATTTAAGGAATATGTGTTAATATCCGCTTGTCTATGTAGGTTAATATCTGGGCAGTGTGTTTTATTGATAGGCAAGTGTAACGCAGTGTATTTGACCAAGAATTCCTCTGTAAACCAATACCGCATATTCAAATTCAGTTCAAGCTGATCCGATTCTTCAACATCAAGTAAAGCTATTATATCATATTCTCTAGTCGATTTTGTTCTTCGTTTCGAGGTGGCTAAATGTATAAAAGAAAAAGAAAAAGAAAAAGAGAGGGTTGGTGGGGGGGCGCTGGGGGGAAAAGAATACATCAATTCACATAACCGCTTACAATGAAATTGAATTTTAAGAAAAGAATCACTGAAGAAGTGTGGCAATTTAAATAAAGATCTTTCAAATCCGCTTACATTCAGAGACGACATGCAGACTTGACATCAATTTTAAAGCTATCTTTGAATAATCGATCCTCTTTTTTCCCCGTTTTGTTGCTTGTCGTCAATTGAATGATAGCGTTCCTACCTGTGAATGCCTTGAATAATTTACAAATCTCTAGTTTTTTCCTGCCAGTGTCTTTCTTGCCACACGCATAAACGCACTGTAAGAAATTCAAGAATCCGTATCGATACAGATAAATATAAAATAACAAAAGGACAATCTGGTTAATGAAGTCATTTTCTTTAACTATCTCGTTCACAATTCATGATTCCATTTTAAAGAAAAGCGTACCTACCGTAGCACGGGAGTTAGTCTCGATTAATCTTAGTAAATCTTCAGTTGCAGGATAAATAAATAGACCGATTTTTCGTTTCATATTTTCCTTAATTCCGTTTCGGGTTTTAGGGAATTCCCTTTTTTTCCACTTTCAGTATAGAATTCCGATTTTTCCACGTTTTCAGTATGTATTTCTGTTTTTTCTTGATTATAATACTTAGCGAGAATGTGTAACAATATATAAATGTTATTAAAACAATAAAAGAAAAGGAAAATAAATAAAAAATACTGACTGGAATATCCACAGATTGGATACGTTGCTCCAGCCTGATGGTTAACAAAGAGAGTCAACTCGTTGTGCATTTTGTGAGATGTTTCAAAGTGTTTACGCGGCCCAGTAGGTGATGAATATTTTTCTACCATATAAATGAATCGAATCTCTTTCCTTTACCTATGTTGGATTTTAAGCTGCTCTGTGCATGATTTCCATCCGACTGAAAAAGTAATGGGAATATTAAACTGTGTCACAAGAGGCAGATTACTTTAGGTCGTCTTCCATCATTAAATTGACCACTAAATGTTAAGTCAATTGTCATTATATATATATATATAATTATATATATATATATATATATATATATATATATATATATATTGAATACGACAGACACGGTGTTTTGTTATTTATACAATTTCTCATGTGATCTAATAATTTTTTCTTCGGATGATTAATTGTATAAAACTGTACATTGTTTCTTTTTTATCCGGAGCGCTTTCGGCTATACATTTCTTGTAAACTGTTAATATATTTCAGCCTTGAAAATGGCTAAATGCATAGCCGGAAGCGCTCGGATAAAAAGAACAATTGTACAGTTTTTATATAATTTATCATCCGAAAAGAAAAAAATATATTCGATCACGTAAGAAAATGTATAAAAAAATAAATAAATCAAAGTACCTTGTTTGTCGTATTCAATGAAATGTGCATGAAAGAAGGATTGCTACCTAAATACACACATACGCACACACACACACATATATATATATATATATATATATATAGCCGAGAAAAATAACAAAAAAAAATAATTCAGAGTTTCCCCCCCCCCTTAGACTGGCTGCCATCCAAGTCAAGAGTAACCCATCTACTCAGCTATTTATCTCGTAGCCGGTGGTAGAAAACAGACAAATCCATTCCTTTCCAAAGTTCATATTACGGAATGAGCACTAGAGAGACCTGTAAATTTAACTAGTCTCTACTATTCCAATTCCCCCGTAGATAGCTCATACGTTACCAGTAAGGACGCATTTCAAAAGCTGGGCAGAGTATTGCGAGACAGGAGGATTTCTTTGGTAACAAAGAAAAGATTACTGACATCTGTAATTCTTTACGGCAGCGAATGTTGGACGATTTCCTCAAAGATGAGGAGGAAACTCGAGGCGACGGATCTGCAGAAGGATGCTAAGGATATCATTGACCGAGCGTGTGGGCAACGATGAGGTCTTGGAAAGGATCCAAACAAGGAAGAATCTTATACTTAACACCAGGAAGAGAGAGCTGACGTTTCTGAGACACATAATGAGGAAGGCGGGCCTAGAGAATCTGATACTCACGGGTCGAACAGAGGGAAAGAGAGAAAAAAGGAAAACAACGCATGATATACCTAGCGTGATTAAATAAGTGGTTGACAGAACCTTGTGTGGGGGAGGTAGCAAACGGAAGGAACATGTTGAGAGCTGCAAGGAATAGAAGGAAGGGGAGAGCCATGATCGCCTACGTCCTGAAAGAACATGGCACATAAAAAGAAACAAAATGGATTTAAATTTACATTAAAACAGAGAAAGAACATTAGCATTATCTATCTTGAAAGGGTTAAAGAATAAATTTTCTCTTGCGGATACGTACATTTCATATTTGAAATGTGTAGTATCGGATACGAATTAAATAGACAAGTATAAATAGAGAACAACTGGCGAACATGCGGGGTTATGCCTAGCAAATCCGGTTGCTATTCAGGACACGGAAATCTCTACTACGACTACAGAGAGAGATTTGAAAAAAAAAATGGCAGCTGTTATTAAATATTGAAACACCAACTATTCTATCAGGCAATGGTTCTCTTCCAAACTTGTTTGCACGACTCGCTAAATTGTCCCACCACCCAACAATACCGATTGGCTAAAAGTTTTAACACTAACAAAATCCATATCCACTTTCTAATCTAAGTAACCCGTGATCTCTTTGCTTAACCTCGTCTAGACAAAGAGCAGACTTTGATAAATAACCTTACTTATTCAAGACTCTAATTCTTTCTGTCTTTAAGGTGCATTTACGAAAGAGCGAGTACAGGCGGGACTCAATGTTTCGCTTCTGAATTTGCCTGCTAAGCTATTGTTTAACGGGGAAGCGTAATGGAATTTTGTTGCAAAGCATTAGCAGCAGGAACCGAAGCATTGCTAATAAGTATGCGATGAATAGAATAGTTAATAGCAGTTACTGTAATGGAGATATAGTTGAATGAGAAGCTGGAATAATGATGGAATCGACCGGAATTTTCAGATTATCAGGGACTGTGTGTACGTGCGATTAAGAAAGACTGGATGCAATGCAGACAAATAGGAAGAAGGATATATATATATATATATATATATATATATATATATATATATGTGTGTGTGTGTGTGTGTGTGTGTGTGTGTGTGTGTGTGTGTGTGTGTGTGTGTGTAAACGAATAAAACATTTATAAAACAAAAAATAGATAGATAGATAGATAGATAGATCATGGTACTGATCATGCTGAGTAGATAGATAGATAGATAGATAGATAGATAGATAGATAGATAGATAGATAGATAGATAGATGTTGAACAGATTCTTATAATGATTATATCAAATAGTTACATACATACATACAGAGATAGATAGATAGACAGATAGATAGATATTGAAGAGATTCTTATAATGATTACATCGAATAGTTACATAGATAGATACATACATACATACATACATAAATACATACATGCATGCATGCATACATACATGCATATTGAACTGATTAATATAACGATCACACCGAATAGATAGATAGATAGATAGATAGATAGATAGATAGATAGATTATTATAATGATCACACCGAATAGATGCAT